ACACTGGTACTGATTAGTATTCCAATGTTTCTCTTCTCCCTAAGTTTTTTTTTCTCCATCATTGAGCTAATGTGACCCCAGAACTGATGGAGAGGGACAAGGGAGGGTCAAACTAGGATGCTGTGCAGGCGGCGGACAACCTCCTTATCAACGGATGATGTCATTGGTTGTCAAGATGCTGGCGACTAGAAGGTCGTAATGGTGCACAATGAAAACCTGAGGCTTTGTGTAACTAAAAGGCAGGCTTGTTCCACCTGCTGGCTTGTACAAGTTGGGGGAAATTTTTAGACATTTTGCCAAGGCACCCCTGAAGAAATCTCCAGGCACCCTGCGCCCTGGTTGAGAAAGGCTGCTATAGAGGGACATGTCTGAGGTTAACATCCACTTTAAAGATGGAATAAAGATGTTTACTTCAAACCCCTACTACTCGTCATAACCTTGCAGCCATTTAATTTGTGTCAGGTACAGTCATGCTTTCAGCGCCTTTGACAACCTCTACAGAATGTTGTAATTAGGATAATGTTTGTGGCTAGAGTCATATCCGCTACATCCATATGCACATCACACATGGTTCATATGCTGAAATGGTCCAGTGTAACCTTGGCAAATTGATCAAAACAAAGCTTGATAAAGCCAGCAAATAAGACAATGGCCAGTTCTGTACTATTGTATGTGAAATAACACGGTCCCCTTTTTTATTTGAATATATTTTGGACACGCTGTTCTATGAAGCAAACAAAAGAGCAGTGTGATCTTTTGCATTGGTAACCTAAAAACTGCGTCTTGACATTTAATAAAATTAGCACATTCAATATTGGCAAATGCTGGAGAAAAATCATCAGTTGGTAGAACTCCGTGAATACCAGAGCCGTCAAAAAGGGGGGAAAAAAATAGCTGCGTGCTCCCGCCTTCACTAAAATCATACGTTGCCATGACAACCCATTAACATACAGTCCTGAGTCACTCCGCTTGCTCGATTTGCTTGTCTCCTAACATTAAAAGAAGCCGTGAATCCCTGTCTGGGTTTGGCTTTGACAGAGAGTCGAGTAAACACGCTGATTTACTGAACAAGTTCATATCTTTTGTGCGCTACATGGTGATAAGTCACAAATGCTGCGAGCAACTGAGTTCTAGCACTATCTAGAAAAAAAAGAAGTACCAGATATAATGCATTTTTTATGATATCTTTTTGCAGGAATTCTGTCACCATTATGAAAGAAACAATAATACAGCATTTCATTTTTTTTCTGAAGAATGCTCTTGTGCAGTAAATTATTCATCAATCGGCTTGTTTCTAGTTAGGACATTTTGCAAATGCCAGAGATGGCTGTTTACAGAGCTTCCTCTTTCTCCATAGACTAGTTGGCTTGACTCGTGTGGAGGTCTGGCCTTAGAATAGGGGTGTCAAACTGGTGGCCCTCCAACTGTTGCGAAACTACAAGTCCCATCATGCCTCTACCTTTGGGAGTCATGCATGTAACTGTCAGTCTTGCAATGCCTCATGGGACTTGTAGTTTGGCAACATCTGTTGGCCCACCAGTTTGACACCTGTGCCTTAGGACATCCTTTGTTTATACCTTGATTATATATTGTCTCCATTTCAGTCACTCTCAGTTTAGCTGCTCACAGTAACTCCTTCATGCTTAGCCTCTTAAAGTGATATTAAGGGCAATTAAAAAAAAAAATTACAAACGTGTCATACCCACCTGCTCTGTGCAATGGTTTTGCACACAGCAGCCCTGATCCTCCTTTTCTTGGGTCCTCCACCAGCGTTCCTGGCTCCTCTCTCCTGCCGAGTGTTCCCAGAGCAAGCACCTTGCTAAGGGGGCAGCCAAGCAGGCTCACTCTTGAGCCGCTGCTCTTCTCCCTCCTCGTTGGCAGTGATTGACAGCAGCAAGAGCCAGTGACTCCCACTGCTGTCTCAGCCAGTTAGGAGGGAGAGTCTCTGGAGAGTTGAGGCTCTCGTGCATGTCACTGGATCACGATGGGGCTCAGGTAAGTATTGAGGGGCTGGGGGTGAACTGCACACAGAAGATTTTTTACAACCACTTTAAGGCTTCAGGCACACTGGATGTTTTTTTCAGCTGCTCTTAGGGGTGTCTGGCAGGTTTTTTTTCTCTGTCTCTAAACGTCCCTGCATGTTAGCCTAGGTGTCAATGCACACACAGACATTTAGAGGAGTTCAGAGACCGAAAAAAACCCCATTGCCAGTGCATCCAGGAGCAGTGGCGTTTTGGCAGAAAAAACGTTTAACCCCAGTAAATGCATGTTAATGCTAGGCGCATTTATCACTTGAGCATTAAATAATTTTAATGGTCGGAATAAATTATTATTATGGCCAGTAAAATGAATTAACGCCCAAGTACTTGATACGCCTAAACACATTACACACATTTACAAACGTCAAGCATTTTTTCTGCCGAAACACTGCTACCAGAAAAAAAGTCTTGTAGGAGAGTTGGTGAAATGTCCTGTGTGCCTGAGGTCTAATTTTTCCTAACCCTAGGTTCACATCTGTGCGGGTGGTACCACTGCAGATCCGCACAAAAATCCGTGCAGCAGCACCTACCCGCATGGAGAAATGCGGACCCGGGGTGGGTGCCATAGTTCTAATGGCACAATGCCCACACTGGAAAACACAACTGTACTGGAAACCAAGGTTCCCGTGCGGGCTGTGTTTTCCAAAGAAGTGCAGGGACTTCTTCCTTGCGTGTCACGGGCATGGGAGCCCATTCAAATGTGTCCGTGTCCGTGCAAAACGCAGCCCGCATAGCTGCATGTATGTGAATCGGGGGTAAATGAAGCAACATACAGTAGGGCAGTGAGGAAGGCGGCCTAGTTAGGATGGATGAGGGACATTAGAAGGAAAATGCGTATAAAACAATGTACAGAGAGAAGGGATGATTTAAAATTGCTATGCTATGGTAGAAAGGTCATTTGGTGGATGGTCAATGGACCTCTCTTTCTTGGGAAAGGGCTACCTCTAGTCAATACAAAAACAGTAGTATATGAGCAATTTTACAAACATGAACAAAACTGTGTGATAAGCAAGATATCTGAAAAGTGACAAATCCTGTTCATATGCTAAAGGTAGGTAATATTTTGGTTGTGGTTAGTTGTTGTTGGACTGAACATCACTAAGCCGGCAGTTACCAGGTTTCTGCGCTGAAGTTCCTTTATAATTAATTATGTCATCTAGATTTGTCCTGTACTTATTGATCATTATTGGGTCAACTGGCTGTTTAAATTCAGATTTTTCTCAAAAGCATGTCTTTTTTGGAGCAGATCCATTGTTTTGAACTTGGGGTTGTCACTGGATATCCAATGTACTAGGAAGCTGCACTTTTATTGAGTCAGCAGGCAGAAAACATTTTCTTAACTCAAATGTTGAAATAAAGCCAGTGCAAGACAGTATCATTTTAATAAAGAGAAAAAGATTTTTAAAGCTGAATGAATAGTTCAGTAAGAAAAGCAAAATGTTGTCAGTTCTAAATTTCCGTGGACATTCTTTGTGAGCCGTTTTAGCAGAAATGGAAGCTGGCTTTCTTCTCTGTTCTTTTCACACCAGGTTTATCTCTTTTCTACAGAGCCCGTTTACCTTCTTAATGCTGTATACTGGTACTAAGTTCCATTAGGATAGTAGAAAATGGATTTTATTGATAGCAAGCATGGTCCTGCACTTGTGAAGCCCACTCTGTATTCTTTGTCTTTTTCTTCATGTGAGTTAGGACAGTTAGAACCTCAAACTTGAGACAATCAAAATATCTGGAAGTTCTGGCAGTACGACAATGTTCAGCAAGCATAGAAGCCATAGCAGCCACTAAGATTCGCATTATAATGGTCTGCCTTTTTTTTTTTTTTGTTTAGTATAGGTTATTGTATATTTGAGTTAAATATTAAATGTAAAGTGTTATTTTTTTTTATTTATTTTTTTAAGGTTCAAAATTTGAATGTGAGACACCTATTGTATACAGTGTAGTATTGGAGTCTTATCCATTACCATAGCTTACCTTCAGAAGTTCTGTCTACCTCCCTGATCTACCATTTGAGAAGAATCTTATATTAATATGACTTTTCCAAGAATTTTTTTTTGCGCCTGGCTAGACAAACTTCCTGCCTCTGAATGTAACAACAATCTGCTGTGATGATAGGATGCTGGTGAGCATTTTATTATAGGAGGGTGGGGATACATCATTGCCATATAGCACACACAAGCAGATGATACCACTTTCTCTGGTGAATTACATTCTCCTGTCTACTGGCAGTGAAAAAACAGCAGCAGACCAATGAGGTCATCTCTCTGCTCGCTCTGCTCTCTCCTCTTTTTGTGTGCTCTCTAATAACATATTTGATTGCAGCACACCTGATTGGATCTCCATTCGGCCCCTTGCTTTGCTAGTCTAAAGCCTAGTACACATGATAGGAAAATCAGACGAAAAATACCGATTTTGAAGCAAGCATCTGTTAATCTGATTGCTTAATCATCACGCATTGTGTGAAATGCATGAACTGTCCTCTGTCTGTATGTTGGAGTTGTGATCCGTCCTTTTACTTTGAAGATTCTGATAAATGGAAGTTTTATCTGGTACATCGTTGGAGTGCGGTTAATTTTCATTGCCTTTATCAGATTAGCCTTGGAACTTGCACCTTCCATAAAAAAAATCAGCTGTTCGGTTTCTTTTATAAAACACTATCTCTAAACAATGTATTTCATCTTCATATATATGATATATCAGATGTGCATGTATTTTCCCTGTGTAGGGTGTATTTATGAGCTGCCATATTAGATTTTGCCCAGAAACCTTGGTTTCTGCGTGAAAGATTGCTGATATTGCATATCACATGAACATCAGACTATAAAGTCTTGGCTGTCTATTAGTTCAACTTGGATATACTTCAAGTTTCCATTACCATACTGTAGGAGGGAGCAGACCCTTTATACTAGAACATAACACAACAATGTTTTTGCTTGCACAAAGCTGAGGAAACAATGAAGGTTATGCTTTCAAAAAATAAATGTCTATATAAAGCTTTAATGCAGAGAATAAAAAAAATTCCTGTTTTTCATTATGTTTCTGTACAATTTTCAGGCAGGAAGCCCGACTTCAGTTACGGCACCAACTAGCTTTCCTCGGACATCAGTGACTCCCTCAAGTCAAGATATTTGCAGGTACTAAACCTTGGTTATTATTTGTATTATTAAAAAAATAGGAAATTGAGTTTAAATTTTGTATAAAAAAGACTACTTGGGTAGAGTTAGTTATGTGTTGTCCATCCTGTTCCATACCATGTTGTCACTGTGTTTTTCTGTCATGTTCTAACACAATTATCTTCTCTTGCCATTTCGTTTTTTACTTTCTATGCTTTTTTCACTGTTCTGCATGCAGTTCCAGTGCTGTATTTTCTGAATGTTGTCATCAAAGTCCAGTGCAGTCTGCTGTTGTGTTGAAAAACCCCAAATTCCAGAGTTCTAAATCACCAGGGGTCACTGTGACAATAATTTGTCAAGATGGTTCCACGAAGGACCCTGCCAATGCAAGGAACAGTGGCAACATCATCAAACCTTGTAAGGCCAAATCTGCCTTTCCATTCTCAAAATCGCTGAATGACGTGGACCAGAAAGCAGTGGATTCAGCCAAGAAGTGCGATTTTGTGGAAAGAACTAGTTCAGAGGGGAAATTGCTGCTCGTGGAGGATCATCAGTTTTCAAAGAACAAATTTCAGTTTCTAGAAAAAGGAACTAATATTCCTAGCCCTGTTGCTTTAAACAGCTCTAATGTCATTTGTGGTCACTCCCTTTCATCTAATCCATTGCATATTCCTAGTCTGGATGCTAGCCTTGGATCTGTGTGCATACCTCTTATGGACGATAAGGCAGACAGTGAATCCTCAAAAAGCAAAACTTTACTGCACTACATATTTTCCTTTCCCCCACTTCAAGTGCACATAGCTTGCACATGTTCCAAGAGCACGATGCCTATTCTAGAAGTCTTCATGCTGGTACCCTCCTCTAGTATGCTTCTGGGAAGCACTGACTTTTGTTCTGACGATATGGGGGATGATGATGTGTTTGAGGACAATGTCCTAATCAAAGAAGATCCACATGAATCAAGAGCTCCGCTGTGTTCAGTTGAGGACAGCGACCTTGAATGTCCTTCCCCCTCCAAAAAGCTTCCCCCCGCTTCCCCTGTGTCGGCATCTGGGGATTTGTGCAGGTCGGTTTACAGAGGAGCCACTCTCCACTTTCTTATTCAAGATGCAGTCCCAAACAAAGTCAAACTGAATCATTGGCATCAGATGGGAATAAATTGCTAAATGTTGGCTTACATGCACTACCATAGTTACATCTGTGCATTTTTTGTTCTTAGTATCATACTTTTGCATATTACATTTTTTGTATAGTTTGTTTAAAGGAGATTTGTATTTTGAAACCAGTTTAGCTTTCCTAAGGTGTCCAGGCACTTTTTGCAAGTATGCCCTATTACCTTTCATTGTTCTTTAAAGTGGTTGTAAACCCTTACATATATCCAGGGAAGTGATAGCCAGAGATGAAACAAAGCCTCCTACATAAGGTGTACCTGTTTATCTGCAGTCTTCTTTCAGTAAGCAAGGGGCGGTCAGCTGAAATTACACATTGCAGAGCTCAGTGAGGAGAACTCAGAGAGCTGATTAGAGGGAAGGGAGACACCCTTCTTCACACGGCGCACAGGAACAGACCTCTGTGCTGGAGGTCCCTCCCTGTCACTTTTTTCTGTTAGTGTCAGAAGTGATCCATGCTGATGTCAGAGAAACGAAGCAGCAGACAGAAATGGCACTTGGTGCTCTTAATTGAGACAAGTACGCACTATAGAGGGATATGTTTTGTTTATATTTCATGTCTAAGGTTTACAACCACTTTAAGAGCAGTCATCACCGGCCCAGATTGCTGTGAACATCTAGGCAGTCTGTGTCTGTAGGGTGACTACAGATAAGGAGTGAGGACAAGTAAACATTTGCTCCACATATATTTCTATTTATTTGTATTCTCTGCTATGAGCCATCAATGATGATTTTTATGTTGCCATCATGAGATCACAAACTGCTAGAAAAGCCAGTCCCTGCATATGGTACACTACTGTGTAGAAAGCACCGGTCCCTAGACCGGGACAAGCAGCCATTATGTTTTCCACAATTGGCTGTTTGGAATCACATGTGATGGATAAATGGGCAGGGCTTAGTTAAACTTCAATCTGGGCTGAATGCTTTGAGGAGTTTCTGATCCCCACTGAATATCTAACTGCATTGCAGCTTAGAAATGATTATTGATGGCCCTGGAAATAAAGATGTTGAATAAAACATGTATGTAGAGCAAATGCTTTTCATGTTCTCCCTGAATATCTGTAGTATGATGCAGGCATGGACAAGCTGAATATAAACAGAACAGTGTATGCATTGTTCATAGATGACAGCTCTCAAAGGAAAGGGAAAGGTAGTAGGTTATGTTGATAAAGGTGTTTGATATCTCTGGTCAAGTTAAAAAAATATGTTTTAAAAGTACAATTTCTCTTTAAATCACAAAAATCTCACAACCTTTAATTGGCAATGCTTACATTGCATTGCTTAAAAGTGAATCAAGGTCATATTTATGTGATAGCAGTTCATTTTGATTTGTAAAGGATCTAAAATAGGCTCCTAGCTTCTCCCATTCTTAACTTTTCCTTGTTGAAATTTTACAGGCATGCAAAATCCCCTAGCGCCTCCTGCTCAACTGCCTGTTGGTGAAATCTGACCATAGCCAACAAATTAGTGGCCCTTTGGGCTCAGTAAGTTGGATGGCGGACGAATATTAGTCTGCTCTGTTAAAGCATGGCGCTCTCAAATGTATGGCCTCTTTTTTTGGGACTGCATCTTTTTAGCATTTAGAAAGTTATTTAGCAATTTGCTACAACCTGTCTTCTTTAGGGGTCATGTAGATTGACTTCTAAGAGGCCATCTGAGCCCCAACCTGCATCCTCGGGATGTTCACGAATTATCCACACAAGTGTTCACAGAGAAGCCATGTTTGTGGAAATCAATAGCAGGTGAGGGGCAGCTCTGCGTTGGAATCGCTGACAGTAATCCAATGTAGGAGGGGCTTGGATGGCTTTTTAAAAGGCTTTTACCACAAGCCCCTAAAGGGACTTAGTAGAAATATTTAAATCTCTGTTGATGTGAATATTAAGCATGTATAGGGATATCAATGAACCCTCATAGCATGTTTTTAAGATGTCTATTCTGAATGTGTGCTATTGAATAGAGATCTGCTACAGGGCTTAATCGTTCCATTTGCTGCTTGATCTCCCCTTTACTTCATATATTCATTTTAAATTCACTCATTTGAAAGAGAAGTTATCTGACAAATTTTCAGATTGCTTCTGGATTGCTCACAGCAAAACAATATTTTTCAGTCGTCAATATTTGTCTGCAAATATTTACAACTGCCTGTGCTAGATTTATTATGTCCTTGCTTTATGTACCATTACTTATAAACTGTGTTTTATCTATTTATGCAACTTGAGCTTAGAGAAACACGGAGGCTGCCCTTGCACTGACATTTTATAATGGGGGGTAGGTGTTAGGTAGGTTACAGTGGTGATCTGGGCAGGGCTGACAGCACTAATTGAGATGACACTGCAAAGTATGCAGGAACATACAAGATCACTGGATTCCGAGCAGGATCAACAGATATTTTTTCACTTATCAGACAGCAAAATACGTTGAGGGCTCTTTCTCACCTTTGGTAACAGTGGGAAGTGCAATATGGAGCCAGTTTGTTAGCTTGGAGCAGGGAGGGAAGGAAGGAAGGAGGAGCAGGGGAGACTTCCATCCTATACAAGGCTACAGGGCTGTGTATTTCTATGGATGTACACAGTGTAGGGCGACACAACTCTAGTCCCTGCATACAAGGGTGCATGTGCTCCATAAGATGTAAGAGAGAGGAGACACCCTGAAACAGGTAACCTGGGGTAATGGTAAACAGGAACAAAAGCAAGGACTATCCTGCTTTCCTGGTATGAACTACAAACAAGCCTTCCTCTCTTCATCTCCATTAGGTGGGGAAATAGAGAATCCGTAGATTATAGAAGATAATTTAAGCCAGCCATAGATGATTTGAATTTTGGTCGGTTCAGCAGCAGACAAGATTCAAGCCATCGTTGGGCAGGCTGATTGTACCCAATTTGATTGTTGTATGAGTTGGGTACAACCAGCCAGTTGATGGGGGAATCTTCCTTCTAAAACTGCATCATCTATGGTCGGCTTTAGAAAGAAGATGACTTTATACTTTCAGTAAAGTTTACAGGAAGTGGCAAAGACACTGCATTTCTGGCTAGATCAATAGGTATTATCTGTCCTGGCTGAAAATGTGCTTAGCCTTAAGTCCTCATGCACACTGGACATTTTTACAGCGGCTGTTTTTGGCATTTGCTGTTTTTCTCTACAGCCGGTAAACTCGCAGTATGTTATCCTATGTGTCCATGCGCAGATAGACTGTAATCAACGTTTTTTGGCTGAAAAAAAACCCCCAGAACTAGTGCTCTGAAAAACGTGGCAAAACACGGTAAAACATGGCAAAGCGGCGTTTTTGGAAGTTTTTTTTGAGAAAAAAAAAAATATATTTTTTGTTCCAAAAAAACTTTAAAAACCACAAATGCGAAAAAACGTGGCTAAACTCTAATGTAAAAACGCTGAAAAACTCACATTTTTAACGTGCCTTTGTACAGCTAACGCTACCAGCATTATTAAAATGCCCAGTGTGCATGGAGCCTAAAAATGAAAACTAAATTCAAACTTATAAAACAAAGGACCAGTTCACTGTCCCCATACCTTACGGGGGCTGGCCAATTGGGAGTCAAAACGCTCCTACATCAATAGGAATAAACAATTCCCCAGGGTTGATGAGCAATAGAAGTAAAAATTACCTAGTGCTTGTAATTAGTAGAAAGATGAATAATACCCCATTATTGGTGTCAGTGGAAGGAATAGTGCTTTATCACTGGTGTCAGTGGAAGGAATAGTGCTTTATCATTGGTGTCATTGGGAGGAATAGAGCTCCAAGGGCCCGTTAAATGCAGCAATTAAAGGACAAGGATTTTGAGGACCACTGTTCTTGGGTTTAGACATCCTTTAACTATCGATTGAGTTACCTAAGCTATAATATGTGCTATCTGCCATAACAATCTTTATTTTCAGCATTGTGGCTGTTGTTTTCAAGTCTCATTGGCTCTCATTGCTGAAAATAATGGTCCTTATGGCAAATGATTATTGTTGTTGCTTATCAAATTGTAAGGCAGAAAACATAGGGAATGATGACTTTGTAACGCTAGAAAGCGTAGGAAATAAACATCTCTTGGTATAAATAAATAGAACACTAAACAGGTCTACTGGGTAATATATTTAATGCACGTGAGAAATGCAAAACAATAATCCTACAACCCAAAGACAATAAAGATATGATTAGATGTTGTTTCCACCCTCAAAATGATATAACTAACTTATCTTCACCCACTAAATGTCACCAGAGCAGGAGGTGAGGGAAAGCCTCCAGTGGCAACAAATGTTCTTGTGGAATTCTGTTCACTTTCTGGTGTCACCAGAACAGGAAGTGAGGAGAAATCTAAAGCAGGGTATACACCTTGAGTTCAAGCTGGTTGAATGAAAAAACAGGTCCCCGCATCCACACAAGCAATGTTGATGTAGGGATCTCCCCCACTGCGCTATTGTATTCTGACAGCGGGAAGTCCCCCCATCAGAATACACTGATCAGCTCCGCAACCATTGGCTGCAAGAACTGATCGAATGCTGGTTTTCCAGCAGGACATTTCGAAGGAAGCCAGGCTTTAGACCAGCTTCTGTTGAAAAGACAGCTGTACATACATACTGACATTCGGCCATTTCCCATTGAACTGGCCCATTTTTGGATCGTGTATACCCTGCTTTTCACCGGCAGAAAAAAATAACGGATTAAACCCTACTCTAACCTACCAAAGACTAAAATAAAACATTTGGACTTTACACTTTCTTTTTTTAGTTTACATTTTTATTTCTCTTGCATGGCTACTACAGCAATACCAGCGAATCCTTTACACTGAGTGTCTTATTTTTAATTCAGGATATGTCACTGTGAAGGTGATGATGAAAGCCCTCTGATAACACCCTGTCACTGTACAGGAAGTCTTCACTTTGTGCACCAGGCTTGCCTCCAGCAATGGATCAAGAGCTCCGATACACGATGCTGTGAACTTTGCAAGTTTGAGTTCATTATGGAAACCAAATTAAAGCCTTTAAGAAAAGTAAGTGTGACTTATCGTTTGCAGAATGGAGTATATTGGTAGACAGGTGTCCTACTGGAAGAGGTAATAATACAATAACTGTTCATAGTCCTTTGGTCTAAAGCTGGCCATAGACTGATCAAACTGTGGCTGGTTCAGCAGGGACTGGTTGAAATTTAATCAGTGTATGGCCTTCTCTTTTCGACAGAAGTCAATTGTTAGATCGACTTCCGTCGAACAGACAAGTTGGAAAACTTTTGTAGATCAGTGGCCGCAGCCTCTGATCATTGTAGTCTGACAATATCGAGTCCTGGCAGGAGGTGTATGGAGGATACAGTTTGGTCTTTTTTTTTTTTCCTGCAGCATTTTGGCTCAATGGAAAAAAAAATAAAATTCAAAAAATGTGTCAAAAATGCGTCAAGAACGCATATGCAAAAACGCATAAGGTACTGCAAAACTGACAAAACCCAAACTGCATTGGTGTGAACCAGGCCTAAAGTGCATTGAAAACCATCAAAAACGGACACGTGTTGCGTTTTGATGCTTTTTTTGAGTCACGTGACCTATGAAAAATGCAGCCTAAATGTAAAATCGCAGCAAAATTGCGCATTTTCGGCAGCCATTATTGGCACCTTTTTTCCTATTGACAAAATGCCGATAACAGTATTTTTGGTCGATACATTCTGCTCACCAGTATATCAGTGCATACCTAATCCGATCCGAATTTATTGTAAAGAATAGCGGGTTCTATTCTATTGGAAATTCAAATTTCGGAAGACAGCTATATTCTTTCTATTTTATTCTATTCTATTCTTTTCTACTTTTTTCTTCTATGCTTTTATTTTTTATTGTATTCTATTCTATTGTATTTTACTCTATTCTTCAAACTTTGAAATTCAAACTTTGAACTTAGACGGTTATATTCTTTCTGCTCTATTTGAAATTCTAATTTCGGAAGATGCTATAGTCTTTCTATTTTGTTATATTCTAATCTAGTCTATTATTTTCTATTCTATTTTATTCTTTTATATGCTTTTCTTTTTCCATTCTATTCTTTTCTATTCTATTCTTTTTAAAATTAAAATTTTGGAAGACTGCTTTCTATTCTGTTATTTCCTGTTCTATTCCTTTTTATTCTCTTTTCTATTGTATTCTTTTTTACTCTATTCTTGTCTTTTCTATTCTATTCTGTTTTATTTCATACTATTCTTTTCTAAATTCGATTTTCGGAAAACAGCTATATTCTTTGTATTTTATTCTATTCTATTTTGCAAGATGGCTATATTCTTTCTATTCTAATGTATTCTTTTTTTATTCTATTCATTTTTTATTCTATTCCTTTAAATTCTATTCAATTCTGTTCTGATATTCTCTATTCTATTTTATTCTATTCGAAGTTCAAAATTTTACATTTTTCCAAAGACAGCTACATTCATTCTATTTTATTCTGTTCTAATCTGTTCTGTTTATATTATATTCTTTTGTTTTCTATTCTATACTATTCTATCCCTTTATTTTCTATTCTGTTATTTTCTGTTCCATTGTTTTTTAAATAAAATTTTTGGTAATATTCTTTGTATTTTATTCTATTCTAATCTGTTGTAATCCATTCTATTCTTTTCTCTTCTATTCTTTTATTTTCTGTTCTATTGTATTCTTATCTATTCCTTTATTTTCAATTCTATTCTTTTTGAAATGTAATGTTTGGTTATATTGTTTCAATTTTATTTTATATTATTCTAATCTGTTGTAATTTATTCTATTATTTTCTATTCTATTATTTTCTGTTCTATTGTATTCCTTTAATTTCAATTCTATTCTTTTCAAAATTTCGGAAGATGGCTATGTTCTAATACACACAGTCTTTGAAGGAAACCAGCAATAGTCAGCACTAGTTTACATTTCAAATTTGTTTTTCAATTTTTGTTTTTGGATTCAATTTGAATTTTGTTTTGTTATTTTGGATTTGTTTAAATGTGTTACTATTGAAAAGTGGATATATACAAATCTCAGAAGAACGAAAATTTTGTCCGAATTTCAATTCAGACTGAAACAAAGCGCACATGTCTAGTGGAAAGGAGACCTGCAGGTGAGGGTGAAACTGCAGTAGAGAAAGATCATGTCCTCTCCCCTGCTAGGCAGGACTGTGTGATAGATCTGTGTAAATCTCAGGACTGGATGGACAGAAACACAAATCCTTTGGCAGGTAAAACAGCTTCAGTATATGTAGGTCATCTGTATATTTAGCTGTTTGCCTGAAGTTCAGCTTTACATGTAGCAAAAGGAAACACCAATTTTAAATACATTTCCTGTTTACGACAGGAAAAACATTATTTTACTGACTAAGACTGCAATTACACGAGTGTTTAGCCACAGTGACAACTGCTTTCTAACCCTCGGTCACACCAAACTCGACTTTGAAATCGTGCGACTTACAGTGAAGTCGCACGATTTCAAAGTCTGATGACTTGCTGATTTCAGGTGCAATTTGCAAGACATCTGATACAGATGTCTATGCAAATCGCACCAAAAGTAGTGCATGTACCACTTTAGAAATCGGTACGGCTCTGACCAAGTCAGAATTGCACCGATATGACCGATGTAATTGCGGACAATAGAGTGTGACTTGGCATGCGAATTGCAAGTCACATGGCATGCAAATGCCATGGCATTCCAGTTCGCATCCAGTGTAACCCGGGACTAAAGCATTTTTTTTTCTTTGAAATAAAGACCTCTGCCGGGCAGCACAGGCGGTATTCTGTTTCAGCTCTTACTGCTTCCTGTGTTTCCAAGCTGTTGATTGGCCATGAATTAACAGAGATGATGCTGTTTCATTGTATTGTACACAGGAAAGAGTGGAGTCATCCTATTGGCTGTGCAGTGTGCCATGTGAATAATAAGACTCTCTAAAAACACAAATGGGTCACTGAGATGAAAGGAAATGATGCAGTGCTACTCTAAAGATACAAATATTATATAACTAATACATACATAATATAAATAAATATAAATGCATATAAATAAAGTGACACAATGTGCAAGAAAACGTAAAAGTGACCTGATCCTCCAAGGATCTTCAAATGTATAACCGTGACCCGATCCTAAGCGGATCCAAAAGTGAACACAGTGAATACTGTGATCCTTGGAGGATCAGGTCACTTTTACGTTTTCTTGTACATTGTATCACTTTGTTTATATGCATTTATATTTATTTATATTATGTATGTATTAGTTATATAATAATTGTATCTTTAGAGTAGCGCTGCATCATTTCCTTTTATCTCATTTGTCCTTGATCATTTTGGTATATGATTGGATGTTAGCAGCTTCTCCATATATATATTTTGTTCATTTATCATGGGTAGAAGCGCAGGAGGTTCACGCCATTATTCCTCAGACAAATGGGTCATTCATACCGTCAGACACACAGCACCGAAAATGTCAGTGCTTGTGCCTGATTCTTGTACCTGTCAAGAGACAGGTTTGTGAATCTGACTGTATTTGCACTCTGGACACTCCTTCCTCACTCCCTCCCCAGCCCATCAAAGTGATAGGTGCATGGCCAAGGACTTTTGTATAGGGGTGAGTGGAGCCTGATGGGGAACTGAGACACTTTACTCTTCATTGACAGTGCACAGCAGCAGGCCCATTCATAGCTGCTGTTCAGTCCCATAGCCACTTTCGAGTCCCACCCACTGCTGTGTGCTGTCAATCAAAAGTAAAACTGGCTTGATGGAGAACTACTCACTGCCCTATCAGGCTCCACCCACCCAGTGACAAGTAATTTCCCAAATATAGGCACTGCTATATTTAGGTAATAACATCACGTTTCTTTACATTCAGTTTTCAGCCAGGGAACCTCTCACATGCCATCTAATCGGGACAAGGCATACAGCCCCCTGTGTGAGAAGCTGTCGCGTATATGACAGCCTTCCAGCACAAGCACAGCCTGCTGTCAGTAATGATATAGCTCCTGTAGTCCAGCTCAAAGTTGGTATTAATTGTCGCCAGTTTTGTAATCTAAGGACTGGAAGTAATTCTTTAGGGATCTGTCAGTGTCATAGCTGCAGGTTTTAAAAGTGGGATAATAAGAACTAACTGAATTTGCTGCACATGTTGGTGATGTTACCAGCACAGGCACAAATGCTTGCCTGAATTAGATGCAATTTGTTCTTAAAGCGGATCTCCACCTAAAAGGGGAAATTCTGCTTTAAGTACCCCTTCCCTCCTTTGCTGCGACATTTGGTATGCAATTTTTTTTTGGGGGGGGGGAGCAGCTACCTAGTTTTGACAGGTACCCACTCCCACTTCCACTCGGATCGCCTCCCCCTCCCTCCCTGCAGTCGTCTGGGACATGTCCCAGAAGACTGATGGACCATTCAGGAGGCGCAGTGGGCACCCGGCTGTGAGAACACAAGCTGACAGTTGAGATGTCGGAACCAGGGAGAGAAGGGGCAACTCGGGTGAGCACATCGCTGGATCCTGGGACAAGTGAGTGTGTGTTTATTAAAAGTCAGCAGATACAGTTTTTATAGCTCCTGACTGTTAATAAACACAAAAACTACTGGAACTCCACTTTAAGGGAACTATTGGCGGAAATTTGTCAGTAGATCTATTTTGAATTCCCCTGAATGTGCATTCAGTATGTGATTCGACTGGGTATTTAGCTGTTTGCCCAGACTTTTACTTAAAGCACTGAAAATGAAGAGCCAATTTATTTACCCAGAGTCCACTCATAATATATTACATTACTTCAACTCGGGATACACCGATCCCAATCGGTGCTGATACCAATTATTTTCATGAGTACGTGTACTCGTGAAAATACTATCGATACCTTAACCGATACTTTGCTCGAAACACAGCTGATCAATCAGATTCCGTCTAACCCAAACTGTCAATGCTGCCAGGAAAGGAAAGAAAGCGGCCGGGATTTGAAATCCCCACCATTTTCTCTCCTCTCCTACCACTGACACTCAGCATGGGATGCCTGCAGGGAGGTTTCCTGCACCACTCCTGTGTGAACTCTGACTATGACAAACCTGGGTTCGCACAGGAGCAGTGGGGAAACCGCATGTGATTTGGACAGGAATTGCATGCTATACTTTGCGGTGCAATTTGCATCCATTAATGCAAATCACATCTTAAAGTATCGGTACTCAGTATCTGTGATTACTTGACTGAAAGTATCAGTACTTATACTGGCCAATAAAAAAAAACGGTATCCGTGCATTCTCTACTTTCAACATTTAGGCAAAGGTTGACATCACCAATCATTCTTTAAAGTCCAAGAGAATATGAGTAGCCCAAATGTCCTAAGAAGATGCCACACTACTATGCAAGAACGTCATCTTGCTAAATTTAGGATCTTAGCATACCCCAGGATCTTGTCAGATGGATGGTGACACAACCCCCTGCGGTATGGAAGGTATGTATATTAACATTTTTTTGTGTATAGTTTTTTTTTTTTTTTTTTATTATTATTTATTGCAGCATTTTCTAATGAAAGAGGTGAGCCTTTGTGAATAAGTGATAAGTGAACCTTGCTTGCACTGCAAGGTCCACTTTAGGACACATTAATCTCTAAAAACTTTATAGTAGCCAAATACAAGAGTCAGAAGGTCATGGGAATCGTGGAGTTCGACAGCTGGAGTATTATAACTTGAAAATCCTTGAATATAAGGATCCTGTGAAACTTTAAAGCTTTCTTGTTATTCTAGTGGGAAAAGCTGCAGATGACCTCAAGTGAACGGAGGAAGATCATGTGCTCTGTAACATTCCACATCATTGCAATCACCTGTGTCGTCTGGTCATTATATGTTCTTATTGACCGAACAGCCGAAGAGATCAAGCTGGGCCAAACCACAGGTATGTACGAGTCTCTGCTTGTGGGTTAAGTTAGTAGACTACTATGACTGAATATGGGAATGACTGAGAGATACCCAATCAGGTTTGTTTATTAAGGCGTCATGCACACTGACGTTTAATTTTGAGTCTCCTAGAAACCAGCTGCATTTTGGCTGAAAAAATGCCTGACTCTTGTAAAAAGTGTGTACCACATTTACCTACATCAAGCGTTTGGGCAGTAATTAATTTCATTGGCCATAATAAATTATTTAGTCATGCCATTGAAATAAATTAACGCTCACGTGCTAAACGCCCTGGCAGTGTGGGGTTTCTTTTCTGCCACAAAATTCTGCTAAAAGCCTATGTGTGCATGGTCACATAGGATAACATGCAGGGGAATTTAGAGGCAGTAAAAAAACACCTGACACCCCTAGCAGTAGCTTCAAAAAAATGCCCAGTGTGCATTAGGCCTACAAGAGCACAAACAAGCAACCAATCAGTTTTTCATTTGATGAAGTTAGATCAAGTATTTATGTTGTTTTTTGTCTTCTTGAATAAATCTAAAGGGTGTCTCAGTGCTTAGAGTTAATTGCCATGCGCTGATCCTAGTTCCTCTGAGGCCCTATATAAAATGAGAAACAGGGCCCCATGACATCTTATTAGCAATAAATCCTTCCTGTTTTGTTTTTAATCTAGACAGAACACGAGAGCGAAGCTCCTGAGTGGGGACCTGGCAGCAAAAACCTAACAGAGTTTCTAACCCTTCCCTAGTCTACCAGAAAAACAGGTTTTATTGTTCTCTGTGTCCTTGTTGAGGAAGTTTCTGATCAGTCCCTGTTCTGACACCGAACAAATCAAAAGAAAAGGACAGTATATTTCAGATGAGATCAAGGGCATTGAGGTTCTAATCCTTCCCCAATCAAAAAAATTATTTAGCCACTTGAGTCCCCAATGCTGCAGAGCACTGAATACCCTGGGTGTGTTTTTCTTGAAAATTCTGTATTTGCATTTTCTTTCCTAATTTTGCTACCAACTTCATTCTGAAAAATTGGGGTTCAAAATCCACTGTATACCCCTTGCCAGAATATCAGGGGTCTACTTTTTTAAATATCATTTAGAGGTAGTTTCAGGGGTCCTGCTACTCCTCTGTCACTGCAAATGTAATTAGGTGCCAAAAAACAGACATATCAGTTTTCATCCATTGAGAGCCAGAATGCCCTTCCTTGTTTCTGGGCCCTGCCATGTTCCCACCAAGTGACTAACCTTTTTATGTGTTATCCCTGTGAATGGGAGAGGTAGCTGAACAAATTGTTGGATGCAGTTTTTTACCATGCCATTATTGTGTTTGTGGAACTCATCACTGAATTTACGCTTTTGTTGAAAATTTTGTATTTATTTTTTTCCCCTAATTTTGCTGCCAATTGCATCCTGAAAAGTTGAGATTCAAAGTCCACATTTTACCCCTTGCCAAAAATCTTGAGGGGTCTACTTTTCTAAACATGGTCATTTTGAAGTAATTTCTGGGGTCCTGTCATGCCTGAGCCACTGTAAGTGCAGTTCCTGCCAAAAAATGGACAAGCCAGTTTTTAGCCATTGACCACAGAATGTGCTCCCTTGCTTCTGGGCCCTGCCATATTCACACCATGTCCCTAATGCAGGCCATAGACGTGGGGAAAATCGGCCGGTTTTTTTTTTTTTTAAATCGCAAATCGGTCATTCAGACGGCCGACGTTGCCACTAATTAAAAAAAAAGTCAGCGGGTTTTAGTCCCGTCTACGGCCGTCAATTAATATAATAGCGGTGTCCCTGCATAGAGACCCGCTATTATATTTGACAGAAGAAATAGATTATGTAAAAGAAGAAGAGAAACAACATTGTATCTATTTGTACTTGAATAGAAACATCTGTATCCAAAATGCATACAAATAGATACAATGTTGCAACTTTTTTTCTTCTCCGTCTTCTTCTACAAAATCTATTTCATTTCTCTTTTCTTCTATTCTCCATGATATTCTATTTCTTCTTCTCCTGAAAAATCTATTTCTTCTATTACTTCTTTTTCTTCATAGTCAATTTATTGTCAAATCGGCCAGAAGAACGGCCGATTTGACCATAAATTACCCGCGAAAATCGGCCGATCTAACAAATCGTCCAAGGATTTTCCAGCATGGCCGATTTTTAAAATCTCTTAAAATTAAGAAAAACGGCTGACATTTTTCCCCACTAACGGTACGAATATCGGCCGATTTTTTTTTTATCGGCCGATAATTCGGCAAGAAAAACGGAAATCTATGGCCTGCATAAGATATACTTACATGGTATTCTCATATACAGTAGTATAAAGTATTTTATGGCACATTACCTACTTATATACATTAGATACAGAAAAAACAACAACTAAAAACAACAATTTTTAAATTATCTTAATTTTTTTTTTTTTGCTTTAATTTAGAAAAAATCGTAATATAAAAAATATATTAAAGTGGTTTTTCACCCAAATGGGAAAGTTGCACTTGTTTTTATCCTGGATGGGAGAGCCAGTACCTGGTTTTGACAGTTACCTGCTCCCACTTACTGGTCAGATCATTGCAGCTCTGCTTTAAGTACAAATGGTCAAAACATTCACAGTCCAACACTTCAGACTGTTTGCTGTTCAAAATACTGCAATATATTTTCAAAAACAAGGCCTATGTTGTCATGTCATTATGTGAGAAAAAAAACTTCATAAATAAAATCTGTACACCATTGTTTCCACAAATTACATATTTTCCCCACAACTTGAAAAAACAGGTACATTTGGTATTGTTGCATTCCAGACAAATTAAAACATTTATTTCAGAAAAAAATACTGTCTCATCTTTCATATTTTTATGTGGTCGAAATCACATTTTTCATCATTTTCACCAATTTTCACAAATTTCTAAAAAATAAATAAATAAAGTATATAATTTAAAGTGGTTGTAAAGGATCAAGGTTTTTTACCTTCATGTATTCTATGCATTAAGGGAAAAACCTTCTCTGTGCAGTAGCCCCCCCAATACTCACCCAAGCCCCCTCTCGATCCAGGCATGTGTACTTGAGTCTCGGCTATCCTGGGATTCTCTCTCCTCATTGGGACAGCAACGGGAGCCAATGAGAAGGGGCCGAGCCACAGCTCTGTGTGTGTATGACCACACAGCAGCGGGTGCCTCCATAGAAAGCTGGCTGTTGTGGGGGCACCTGACAGGAGGGAGGAGCACTGGCAAGGAACCCAAGAAGAGGAGGATCGGGGCTGCTCTGTGCAAAAGTACTGCGCACAGCAGGTAAGTATAGACATGTTTGTTATTTTTTTCTTTAAAAAACATAAGCCTTTAGAATCACTTTAAAGTATGTTATCCAAAGAAAGTACTGTCTCTCCACAGGGTCTCAAGACTGGCAAAGTTGACTGCAAAACAAAGCAGCAATTGTAAGACATAACAAACCTACAACATGTCCAAAACCTGAAAAAATCCCTAGGACTCCAGGAGGTTTATATAGGTTTAAGGTGCTGGGACTCAAGTGGTTAAAAAGTGGTTAACCCCATCTGTGCTTGCTACAGAGGATTTAGCACAGTTTTTGCTGCACCCTTGTTTCTGTATTGATTCTATCTCTCTTGCTCCGTGCAAAAATTAGCTCTCAACATGACCAGGGGCGGACTGACCATTTAAGCACTCGGGCAGTAGGGGGCCCCATAAAATGCCCCTGGTACCTTTTATAGGCTTTTTTGGGTGTACTTTGAGTGTGGGCAAGGACACAGGGGCCCCATGATCCCCTATTGCCTGGGGCCCCATGAGTTGTCAGTCCGCCCTGAACATGACCCATTCACTAGCCTTTATGTAGCTGCTTTCCATGTACAACTACAGCTCTATTGTAAGGGCAGATGATGTGGAATACAAATTCAAAATCTCCTCTTAGTCATTTGGTGTATATTATAGATATCTTGTTCTGCAACTGTCTGGCTGTTAGATGTAATAGCCCCCCTTTAATCACGAGCTACAGGTAGGCTTTGTTGTCACTGGAACTCTATGGAGGTTATTTAAAACTGGAGAGTGCAAAATCTCCTGCAGCTCTTCATAGAAACCAATCCGCTTCCAGGTTTTAAAGTCAAAGCTTGATTGAACAAGCTGAAGTTAGAAGCTGATTGGCTAGCATGCACAGCTATACCAGTTTCAGTAAATCTCCCCAGGTGTGCTCTAGTTCTAAAGCCGGCCATACAATGGTCGAATTCTGAAAGAATTTTCTTTCAAAAATCTTTTCTAAGAATTTTTGTTCGAATTTCGCACCATTAGTGAGTTACAGAAATGGCTGGTTTTTGTGTGTGAACATGGAATTTGAGTGTTTGGGCATGTTGGAAATGTTTTTAAAAATGAACTAATTTCAAATCGATGATGGGAGAATCGTGCAAGAAATATAAAGCTGTGACCTGGAAAGAAAAGAAAATTCTTGGCCACGAAAATTCTTTTCTGTAGCAACATGAGGATACATTGAAGGCTTGGCTGGTTGAATTTTGAATCAATGGTGGCACCATCGCATTACAAACTGCACAAAATGTCCGATTTTATAAAGAAAATTCGTTTGGAATTTGACCCATGTATGGCCTGCATTAGACTCACCGGCTTCTGAATTCTTTGTTGAAATGTCCACACCTGACTTAGCTTATGTAATGGGTTAGCTGATATCCCAGGCTGTGTAAACAACAATTTCCTAGATTTACTGTATATGTAGTGTTTCAAGAGCATCACATATGTGTCATACAAGAGAATAAACCCTATAATAAAAAAGTCACACCAATGTGGTCTTCCGCCACGATCATACCATAGGCTGCACAACTGTGATTGGCCACAATGTTGCTGCAGATTCCCCATAATGGTGAGCAGTATATATCACAACTAGCCTAAGATTCAACAAAACCTACAGTCAGGAAATGACCACTTCCCCTTCCAGGTCTCGTGTACTTATGACATTGGCAGAATATTTTGGCCCCCTTCACAGCTGTGCATGCACCGTAACAAACAGTAAAAGGGGTAAGGAGATTTTTTTGGCACATAGGGGCATGTTGGCTTAATGCTATGTAGCACCCTGCAAAGCTGTAAAGGGGACAGTAATATGAAATTTAGATTAGTAAGATAGAGCTGGAGTTTACAGAAGTATACTTTTTTAAAATGTAAATGTAAGTATTTTTAAAGTGATGTTTTAGAGTGTAGGGAACGATTGGAATGCCTGTGTCGTTTTTTTTTTTTTTTTTGGTCTGTATCCCATTGGGGAGATTCTACTTCACTACTTGTGTCAGAGACACAACAAGAAGTGGTAGGAGAACTCTCCAAAATTGGGAAGAAATTCCCTCTTAGACAGTTGTCATCAGAACAGATCTCATTGGAGATTTTCCCTCAATTCCTGTTGTGGTGACAACTCAAATTTTATTATTTCTCCTCATTTGCAGTGAAAAAAAAAAGTTTATAATCAATATAATTTTTTCTTTTTGCAATTGAGATTACTCAGACAATTTTAATTGTTTCTTCTGATAACATCAAAAGGGGTCATGAATTGTTAACACAGCAAACTGTGTACTCCTGCACTTGGGGATGGACTCAGCAAAGGCTATGGTAACAATTCAGATTTCCTGGAAAATGCACTCCTTGCTGCCCTCAATGGACTGGGGTAGTCCAAAGTCACTGGATACAAAGAAAACAAACAGGGCGCAGCGGCCTAGTGCATTACCATAAAAAATATTGCAGGCTCTGAGGAAGAGGCTGAGTCCTCGAAACGTGATAGCCTGTTGGAAGTCCAGGGTTCCATTTATGGACTTACATGCAGTGTGGGTTGGACACCGCTGTTTAGTGTGATGTGTCTTTGTCCTGTGTGTCAATTTTGAGAACAATACTTACTGTTTATCCGTTTAATAAATATTTTGTTACGATAATGCACTAGGCCGGTGCACCCTTTTTGTTTTCTTTGTAGTCATGAATTGTTGCCATGCGGATAACACAATACCACCCTCTCTGAGAGATTTTGTAAAATGCAGTACCTCTCGGTATCAAGGCTGTTGTGTACACAGTAGAATTTGGCAGATTCTGAAAAAAATGTATATTTAAATGAAAACCAGGAAAAGCAAAATATTTTTCTGCAAAAATGATTGCTTGTGTTTGACAAGAAACTACTGAATAGAGAAGTGATATATTGTGCCTGGCGTGGTCAAGCTTGTTCCAGTTACATATTGATCACCTTTACTCAACACATTTTGGCTGGATGTAGGGACACCATCTCTGTTCAAGTAAGCATCCATACGTTTTGTTAAAGGCTATGGCCAATCAAACGATACTAAAAAATAAATAAATGGCGAATTATCCAGAACCAGTGGCATTATGTGATTAATGGCCCTATGCATTTTCCCCTAGGTTACCATCCATTTGATGGAATAACATTGCTTAGTAGGAGTTTATCATTGCTTTGTAGTAATTACATGTTTGCCTTAAATAGCCTAAAAAACATTATATATTTTTATGGGTTTCCTGTTATTCTAAAAACATGCTGAAAAGTGCGGTATATGTATTTACTTTGTGTCTCTTCTGTCTGTAAAGGTATCCTGGAATGGCCGTTTTGGACTAAATTAGTCGTGGTAGCAATTGGCTTCACTGGAGGACTCTTGTTTATGTATGTGCAATGTAAAGTATACATCCAGTTATGGAAGAGACTTAAAGCGTACAACAGAGTCATCTATGTGCAGAACTGTCCCGAAACGTGTAAAAAGAAAATCTTTGAGAAGACTGTAATAATTGAGCCAAATCTGGAGAGCAAAGAAGCTCTTGCAATCCACACTCAGACACAAACTCTTCTTACTATACGGAGCCTGAAGACTGCGGAGCTGCCATCCTCCCAGTTTAAGTTTTGTATTCCTTCTAAAGTTTTTTCAGGAGATGACTGTTTACCGACTGCAGGCAGCAGTAGATTTAATGTCCTGAAATCTCCCATTATTTCTGCTTTTCAGTCCGTATGTATCTTTCCAAGCAAACGGTTATACCTGCAATCATCCCTGATTTATACCTCTGCCTGAAGAACAACACGTTATACAATATTCAGGATCAACTACAGGAATATTCTGGACCTTTAATAAGATGGATTTTTGATATTTTGCTTGATTTAATCACTGGTTATTACAATTGGGAACGAGGTTTGCACCTGCAGAGTATAATTGTCATAGAAGAGTGGATAAAAACCCGTATGGCATACTTAGCATGATCACTGCTCATACAGACAGTTCCACCTTTCTAGCTCTTGCTTTTTAGAATTCTGCTTTGTCAGCAAGTCACAAGAGCATCTAGCACTTTTCTGAGTAAAGAAAAAAAATAATTTTTTTTTGTAATAACTTTACTGACTTCTGAAAATGTTTTCATTACCAAACAGAGAATGTGCTCTGTCATTTCTAGTTTAAATAATGAGCAACCTCTTGCCTTACATGCTGTATATTTCCAAAAAGAAAATGTTTTTCTTCATGACTATTATCATTTTACACATAAAGAAATCAATTTCTGCCTTGTTATTTCAGGAATAAAATGCATCTCGAAGTAGTTGAGATTTAACATTTTTATCTACCACATGTATTTGAATTTTTTACTGATAAAAATGCACAAAATTGGTAGAACTTTGAATTTCTGGTGTAACATTGAATAAAATGTAGAACTTTTACTATGGTAAAAGTTATCTTGGATATAAACGGGTTTGTCATTTTTTTTACTTTAAGTGGTAGTGTGAAGAATCCCGACCGCCCTATAGCAAAACTACTGCTACAGGGCGGCAGGGCTGTGCAAAATCACATATATATAGGTGATTTCACATTTCCAGGTAGGGGCGCGCGCCGCTCTACCCACGCTGCCATTTGTGGCTGCACATGTTGATCACCAGGTCCCAGACGGAGATTCCCCGCCGGCACATGGCTATCACTAAGTATTATTGACGTGGGAGAGACCTGTGTGTAAACAACGCGGGTCTCTCTCCAGCCAGCAAGGACATGCTCAGCAGAGAAATACACAGCAGCATGTTTCCCCAGTAAAACCACATACAACACATGATGTAAAACAGCACACAGTTAACCCTTTGATCGCCCCAGATGTTAACCCCTTTCTGCCCAGTGTCATTAGTACAGTGTCAGTGCTTTTTATTAGCACTGATCACTGTATTAGTGTCATTGGCAGTTAGTTCCCCCCAGTGTCAGAATGCCCACCGCAGTCCCGCTATAAGTTGCTAATCGCCGCTATTACTAGTAGAAAAAAAAAAAATTCCAGTATCTATACCGCCATTTGTAGACTATATAACTTCAACGGAAACCAATTCATTTACATGTATTGGGATTTTTTTTTAGCAAAGACATGTTGCAGAATACATTTTGGCCTAAATTTATGATGAAATTAGTTTTTTTAATGCAAAAAGTCAAAAGTATTGTTTTGGGTTTTTTTTCAAAATTGTTGGTCTTTTATAGTTCAAAAAATAAAAACCGCACAGGTGATCAAATACCACTGAAATAAAGCTCTATTTGTGGGGAAAAAAGACATACATTTCATTTGGGTGCAGCATTGCATGAATGACCGCGCAATTGTCAGTTAAAGTAATGCAGCGCAATATCGCAAAAAATGGCCTGGTCAGGAAGGGGGGTAAATCCTCTGGAGGGAAAGTGGTTCTGCTATAAGAATTATCCACTTTACCACACAGCAGTGACATAGCTCTTCCTAACTGTTCCACTCCCTTTTTAAGGGCCCATTCACACTTGGAACTGCAAGTGAATCACTGTGCGGTTCCTGTGCAATTCACATGCAGTTCTGTGGGTTTTTCAGACACTCATTTTTAATGGGCTAAAATTGCACCACACCACGTACTGCAACTGAATCACACGGTACTTTTGTACCATGCAATCAAGTGCGGGCATATGCGTTGTGACCTGTGTTTTGGTAGTTGTTAATTTTGCACTGACACCTGCTTCAGGACACAAAGGAAGTGCGATTGAATGCAGTGCAGGAAATTGGCACGGAACTCAAGTTTCTCACTCCAGATTCTACAAACAGGCCATAAAAAGGTCACAGAAAAGAATTGCATTCTGATTACTGTTGTTATTTATTAGCTGCATCTTTAAGCATATGTAACTTATGGCAGTTTTTATTTTAATTTTGGATGGAGGGAGAAAGGGTTATAACCATTTTGTTTGCCATCTGTGTCCAATTGGGGAGATTTCTCTTCACTTTCTGTCCAATAGCCAAACAGGAAGTGAGAGACAATCCCTTCAAAATCCCAGGGTATAACCAGGTTTACCAGAACTAGGTTTACCAGAACTAGTGCACCTATTGGAAAATATCCCTGCTCTTACTTTTCTGTGTCAAGACAAAATTTGGGATTTTCTTTTATTTTCACTTTCGATGATAATGGTAATCATGACAGTTAGAGGGGGTGAATGTCCCTAATGGGGACACAGACAGCAATATTAACTGACAGGTGTTCTTATACCTTTACACTAAGGTTTGCATTTACTTACTCTTTAATTCTTTGGGACAAATTATAACACTGTCTGGGGTGCTTTGCTTATAATGGTCAATGGTCTAAAATAGGGGTCCCCAAACTTTTGAAACAAAGAGACAGTTTACTGCCTTTCAGACTTTAGGGGGGCTAGACTGTGGCCAGTGGGAGTAGAAAATGCTCTGGCATCGATAGGAGTAAATAATGCCATAGCCTTAATGGTCAGTGAGAGTAAAAAAAAATTACATTGTTGGTGTCAGTGGGAGGAATAGTGCCACATCATTGGTGTCAGTGGGAGGAATAGTGGTCTATCTCTGGTGTCAGTGGGAGGAAAAGTACCCCATCTTTGGGGTCAGTGGGAGGAATAGTGGTCTATCTCTGGTGTCATTGGGAGGAATAGTGCCCCATCATTGGTGTCAGTGGGAAGAATAGTACCCCATCATCGGGGTCAGAGGGAGGAATGGTGCCCCATCGTTGATGTCAGTGGGAGGAGTAGTGCTCCATCATTGGTGTCAGTAGGAGGAATAGTGCCCCATCGTTGATGTCAGTGGGAGGAGTAGTGCTCCATCTTTGGTGTCGGTGGGAGGAATAGTGCCCTATCTCTGGTGTCATAGGGAGGAATATTACCCCATCTTTGGTGTCAGTGGGAGGAATAGAGGTCTATCTCTGGTGTCCATGGAAGGAATAGTGCCCCACCATTGGTGTCAGTGGGAGGAATAGTACCCCATCGTTGGGGTCAGAAGGAGGAATAGTGCCCCAAGGGCTGGATAAAGGCAAGCAGATTGCCATATTCCACCCACGTGCCTCAGTTTGGAGACATTTAGTATAAAGCAGCCTTTCTAAACCTTTTTTTTTTTTTACCTTGGAGGAACCCTTGGCAAATAATTTGAGATCTCACAGAACCCCTAAATATTTTCAGGTTTGCAGCTTTACAGATATTTATTGTGTTCAGTGAACTGCAGCTATAATAATTATTTGTAGAAATAAATGTAAATGGTTAAAAGTGATGACTGCACAACAAATCTGGACACCAAGCCTGGTATGAAGTCCTCAAGAGAGTTATAGCTTGTTTAACCCCTTAACGACAGTGTCTGCAGGACTTTTAGGAGATTTCTGATGCTGGGAGGTGGGGGGGGGGGGTTTCAGATCTCGTCACTGACGTGATTGGTTGTCACGGCAGTCACATGATCGGAAAGCTCCCGATCGCAAGTAGAGCTGCCAGTAACTGTGCAGGGCACACGCTCTTGGCACAGTTCTGTTAACATTGAGAGGCCGCATATATGTATACCAGAATGTAAAGGCCCACTCATTGAGAGGCTGCATATATGCATCAAGAGGTTAAAAGGGGACTCTGCTTTACCCACCCTGTTTTTGAATAATGGACAAGTAATTACTTTTAACTATTTACGTTTTCACCTATAGCTGTTCCACTGCTGTCAGAAGTAAAGATCCCCACAAATGTATACATAGGCTGCCATGTATATGGCCTCATTCACAGTAAGCATACATCCATGCCAAGGGCCGGCTTTGCCCGGACAGGTGCACAGGTGTTCCATGCAAAGTTTGCTGTGTGTCTCTGACCGTAGACCTGGGGGCATGCACACACACACATGCATGGCTGTCAAACTGGAACCAGTGGCTGTGTCCATGCACACTTTGTGTGCATGAAATGCCTCTAGACCAGCGTTTCTCAACCTTTTTTCAATCAAGACACCCTTTAAAATTATGGACAGTCTGGAGGCACCCTTTAAAATTATGGACAGCCTGGAGGCACCCCATTCTAAAATGGGGTGCCTCCAGACTGTCCATAATTTTAAAAGGGCACTGCGTTCTAAAATGTGAAAAAGTATTCTAATAGTTTTATATAATGCAGCAACATCCACACATGTAGGACAACCAATATTAGATTTATTTTTCCAAAGCAAATGCACTCTTGCACACAAAGTAGTATTCCAGTGTTTCTCTTCTCACTCAGTTTTTCTCCATCATTGAGCTAATGTGACCCCAGCACTGATGGAGAGGGGCGGGGAAGGGTCAAATTCGGATGCTGCAGGCAGCTGATATCCTCCTTATTAAATGATGATGTCATTGGTTGTCAGGGTACTGGCGCCTAGAAGGTCGTAGCGGTGCACAATGAAAACCTGTGGCTTTGCATAAAATCTTCTATACAAGCCAGCAGGTGGATCAAGCCTGCCTTTTAGTTTTTGACATTTTGCCTGGGCACCCTGGTTGAGAGAGGTTGCTCTAGAAAACCAGATATTACCATCTAATATTTATGACATCATCACTGCACTATTCATAGAAAAGCAGAGCCCAACAGGCTCCACCCACTACACTACAGGCTACCTGCAGACAACTACATGAGGGGGTGGAGACAAGACC